CGGTGGGGCCTGAGGGGCTCTGGGGGGGTCTGCGGGATTTCAGGCGGAGCTCTTGGGGGTCTCTAGTGTCTCTGGCAGTCCCGACGGGCTCTGAGGGGTCTCGGGAGGTCTTGGGAGTGTCCTCCCGGGGGCTAGTGCTGCCTCTAAGCAGCAATGGTGGCCCCATGGTTTGCTGCCGCTCTGCTCTGTGCTTTCCTTACTCCTCGTGGACTCCGTTTTATTGTGATTTTCTTCCCTTCCCCAAGGCTCTTGTTGGTTGAGGACGACCTCAGCTGAGTGGGGAGAGGAAAGCCAAAGCGCAGGTTGTGGGTTTTGGTGAAGTTAGAGGTAAGGTTCTCTGTGTTCCTGAATTGCTCTTTGTGTGACTGAACTAGGCACATGGTGGGGCTGAACTGGGTGGCAAAGGTCAGAAATTCCTGTGTGCCATTCATTTCCCTTTCCTGCCTGTGCCTTTTTTTGCTGTACATGGATGACTACCTGATGGAACTGCAGGAGAGATGGAGAGAGACTATTGACAAGGGCTGGAGGGGCAGGACACAGGGAATGGCTTCCCACTGCCCGAGGGCAGGGACAGGTGGAGATTGGGCAGGAATTGCTCCCTGGGAGGTGCTGAGGCTCTGGCACAGGTTGCCCAGAGCAGCTGTGGCTGCTCCATCCCTGGGAGTGTTCCAGGCCAGGCTGGATGGGGCTTGGAGCAGCCTGGGCTGGTGGGAGGTGTCCCTGCCCAGGGCAGGGATGGGATGAGATGATCCTTAAGGTCCTTCCAATCCAAACCAGCCTGGAATTCTATGATCTGACTCCTGAGGATTCACTATATTATATCCAATAAAACTTGTTGCAGCTAACACCAAATCTTGCCTTATCTGCTGATCTGGTTTAGAATTTCTAAAGAAATTAGAACTGACACAAATTGCCTGCAGACAATTCACAGGGTCACAACATTCTCAGCTGCAAGGACCCAGAGGGACCAATGCCCCCTGTGCCTGAGAGCATTGGCCAAACCCTCCTTGGACCAAACTGGTTTTGCTGGTTTGAGCAATTGCTGGTTCTCCTTACTAATTGATTTAATTTAGTTTAACTGAACAAGGCTTTAATCACCTTGTTTGCTTCACAGACACTGCAGGTGTTACAGATTGGTTGCTGTGTGTTTTGCAGGTCACTATGAAGGCTCTGTATGGACAGCAGAGTTCACCCGGAGGGGAAATGACATTTTTCTTCCAGGAAAG